TTCATCTTTCTATTCGGCGTGTTTTCCATGAATACCTACACGTAAAAGCCTTATTCGCGCCTAATGGTATGCAACATTAATAATGTCAGCCTTTCATGGCGGCAATGTTGGCAGTGCTACACTTGCAGTACATGAACCTCTATGTATACATACATATGTACATATGTACACACATATTTTCCGCACCTGAATTTGTTTTAGCGTTCATCGGCACACATAAACACATACCTACGCACATACATAAGTGTTTGCTATTCATTTTGTTGCCAACGGTGCATGGCGTCTGGTTAGTTGCCATATGCGATGCGCTTTTTGTTGTTACTATTTGGAATCACTGCAACGTGCAATACAACAGGGAAATCCGTGCATACTCGCACACATACATACATACTTATATTGATAACCAAATGCGCTGTGCTTTCCTGACTCTGTCCATTATTTATTCGGCTACTTTGCCTGACCTGCAATGAACTGGACACTGGACACGGCTTGGCTTCACTGTTTTTGGCACTGAAACGTATGCCTTGTGCAATGTCACGCATTTTATCCGCTTATCTGAATGTCTGAATGGTAAATATTCAATATTTTTGGTAGCTAACTGGTTTTGAAAGGCAGTCGGGCATGGTTGTTGCTGGTGTTTTTAGTGTTGTGGAAACTTCAATAAATATTTCATTTCATTTTGTTAGAAAATTTTGTTTTTTTTAAATTTTGAAAGTCTGAAAAATTCTAAAATTAATGGGCGAAAGTTCTAAATTTAGTAAAAAGTTCTTTTGTTACATATGGAGGCAGCGCAAAATTCTGGCTCCCTCCATTTGTTGTATTATATCCAGACCACACCACAAATTGGAGGCGAATTCGGGCCCGACACTTAGGAAAAGAGTGAAAGCCAATATATTATTATTAAGTTTTAGACTTACTCATAGATTTCCGGAGTTCCTTTTCTTCACAACTTTCCTCGCTTTAAAGCTATGTATGTATGTATATATGTATGTAGTTGCAGGCTTATCCCACACGTCTCTCTAAACCATATTAAATACAGTTGCTTCAGTTGCTTGAAACTCAAAATCTGCACTAACCTTATCCAACGTAATTATTTTCATTATTAATGCATCTGATGCTTCGCCTGTCTAATGTGTATTCATATGCATTAGTGTGCGCCGAAAATCCGCTTTTTTCGTCCATCAAATTTCTAGTATTAAAAAAATTGTTTTCCTAGCTAACTTACATTCTCTACAAAAAAAGGTCCATATACCAAATTATGTAGGACTAACACTTTCGAAGATTATTGCAATTTTAGTAAAAAAAATTTATTAATTTATTTATTTAGTAATTTGTTTATTTTTTGAGCATATTGAACTTTGATTGACTTGGGTGAGCCTAGGCTAATGACCAAAAAAATCGAAATTTCACACAGTTTTTTTTAAAGCATTATAAATCATATTTTTGCTATTACCAATCAAAATTCTAAAAAAGCGAATTTTCGGCCCACGCTAATATGCATGTAGGTATAAGCGTATACTACTTACTACTTGAATTTTGATTTGATTAGAGTAAGCATATACACACATACATATCTAATACATATTCGATGGCTGCATTTTGGCTCCTGCTTCACTTACCAGCGTACAAATACGTTTGCATGCATTCTAATGTGTGTGTGTTGATAACTAAGAGCATCTACTCTAATTTTCCAGTTTGCTTAATGAAATATGGAAATTTCGGTTTAGTTAAAACATTAGCTCAGCCTCAAAGTAGATTTTGTTATCATGATGAAGTAGGATTTCATCTTTCTTTTATGATAATATCGTAAATATGTATACAAGTGTCTCGTGTACATATATGCATAGTTAAGTACATAAATAGGCTATAATTTATGCACCGAACTACATACGTGCATATGTATGTACATCGAAAGGCGAAAGAGGAAATAGTTAGCTTCAAATTTACAAAGCGGATATGCATAGGTTTTTATGCAAATGTGAGTTTCTCAAAATATTTTAGTAAGACAGAGCTTCCATTTTGAATTTTCCATTTAACTATCTGGCTATGATGACAAAAAATCCTTCCCAGATTTCTCTGATTCGATAACGGAAATAACTGAAAATTCCTCTCACTTTTAAGCAACTAAAAAAAATATTATTGCCGGAAAAAGATTAACTTTGGCGAAATAGTAATAGTTTAAGCATGAAACAGAAAAACAAATTTAAAAAACATAAAAATATTACAAAACTGTAGGACTTTGGCTGAGGTTAGATATTTAGGGTGTACAATTTATTTGTGTCATAGATATAGGGGTTTTACTGGCTGCCTATTGCGAAAACTTACTTTATGGTTACCGATAAAAACGCAGCAAGACTCAAGTTATGTTAACGGTTGCTTAGGAATTTATGGGGTTCTAGAATCCCTAGCACTTCCGCTTAGAAGATTCTTGTGTCATTTCCAGATCGCAGAGACAGAGCAACACCGAGTTCCTCGGAGTGGACTCCCGCCTCCACACTGAAATTTATCTTGGATCCGTTGATGTATAGACCGATTGCCTGTAGGTCGGCCACTCGGTCCCTTCTCCAGTCACGTTTGGATGAAAATAGCACTTGCACATTACAGCTGAAGTAAAAATTGCCTGCCATTCGGTCTGTCGTCCTACTTAATTGCATTTGATTTATGATCAACCCATGTCCGACCCATGCCTAGTCCCTCAAAGGTCTGACCCTCTGAGTCTGATCGCCGATTTCATAGCCACTTCTTTCAGGTGGAGATCAATAGGGATTTAATTGAGGATAGCATTTAGCGCTTTTGCAGGGCTGGATCTATTATTTTTATTTTTCTTTATGTATTACAAAAGCGTAAATACAATGAGTACTATTGTCGGACAAATTAATATCGTCGTAATTTTTTATGGCCTTATAACAATTATATTCAACAATTTTTTATTGAACTTCAAGCCGTTTTTTAATGAAAAACTATTGTGGAAAAGCAACAACTATTTGAAAAAATGGTAGAATTGATAGCTATTTCGGGGCACTGGAATAGCTGCGCTTGATCGCCGACTACGATCATGAAAAAAGTGGAAAAAGCAACAACAGTTTATAAGGCGAACTCAGCACAGTGCGTGGGCAACTGGCTGAGTCAGCTGGGGTCATCGGTTCGAATCTCGCTGAGGAAGTCTGATGAGGAAATGTGGTGACTTCCCAAATAGCTATTACTTCTACAATTTTTTCAAATTATTGTTGCTTTTCCACAATAAATTTTCATTAGAAAACGGCCTCGAGGTCAATAAAAAAATTTTTTTCATAAAAGTACAGCTTATTATTTAGCAGAAATTATGCAAAAGCTAAATTGAAACTTGGTGCAAAAGATTACAAAAATTATGCAAAGTTTATTTTGTTTTGAAATTTTTTTATTAGAACTTTGCTTTAACAAAGAGCAAGTTTTCAGTTGCTGGAAAATCGCGTTGATTTTTGGCAAATCTTTTTAAGTACATATTTCCGGATAGCAAAAATATTTTCGAACGTACTTTGAAGGGTTTTTGCATTCTGGTAGTGCTACCAGCCTTTTTTATCACATATTTTTTAGTGTTTGAAAAGTTGTATGCGATATTTCAGACCATCAATTTGTACTCATACATACATACATACGTGTTGGTACCTGAAAATATGTAAATATAATTTAATATAAATGTGCCTTCAAGTAAATATGTAGCTAAATCCTTGCATTGCCAATATAAATCGGACCACCTCGAAACGCCAACTGTCAGCGCCTTTCAGTTGCCTGTTAACCGCTATCCCTTGCGGCTGCTCTAAATAGCGCATTTTCCTACTTTTGCCATCCACTTGCTGATTACAAATATATATATATATATATATATATCGGAGTATGGGCGACTGTGTTTATTAGTAGCAGTCGAGACAACATAGAAACAAAAAACAAAAAAAACACATAGGCAAAGTGGCATACGAGCTGCTGCGGGGGCCAAGCGGAAGGAAGAGGTAAAAGTAGAAAAGGAAAGTAAAAGTGGAAAACAACTGGCAGCACATAAAAATAAAACAATTGAGTGCGGAAAGCGCCGCCGGGCACTACCAGCTGGCAAATGACATCGAAACTTTTCAAAAACAATGTCGTCGCTACATTTTTTATTTTTTTTGTTGTAGTTGGATACTCGTATTTATTTAGTTTTATTGGGTTGGGCGTTTTTCGAAAGCGAAAATTATTCATTGAATTTTCCTTGATTTCATCTACAAACTTTGATTGGTGTTGTTGTTGTGCTATTGGTTGCTGGTTTTGTGACAATTGTGATTTCATTCATTCCATGGCTCTTTGCTCCTCTTCCTCGGCTCTGCTTGCTGCTCCTTTTTTGCAAGGACATTTGAACTAGAAAACTATTGTGGCATACTTTAAGGCGTGCCCATTTTGGTGTGAATATAAATTAAGATTTACATACAAAAGCGATCTGCTGAGAAGCTTACTAAGCCATCATTTGCGGCTTGTCCTTCGATTTTGCTTAAATTGTATTCCACTTTTCCTCCAGCGTTTGTGGTTACTTTGGCGCTTAATGATATTCATTGCTAGGCAAAACAATAAAAGTCCGATATACGCATAAAAAAAGTTGGTAAGTAGTGCACTGAACTTAGGCCGCCACACACACACACACACACACACTCTCATACGTGTTTCTGCGTAATGACACTGCGCCACATTTTGCGAATAAAATTTTATTGCCGCCTAATGCCATGCACACGAGGCGTTGCCGTTCGATGACATAATAAATAGGCACAAAAGTTACTGGCTGGTGCATGAGCGGATCTGTGCTGGGATGTGGCGCTCAAAAGGCGTTAAATAGAATTATGTATTTGTATTGAGGCATATTTCCGCCAGCATTAGCATTTATTGCTACTTCAAACAGAAAGCAGAAAATTTTACGTCGCCTCATTTCGCTAATAAAATTTGAACTGCCTCATAATTTATGTTATATCTTTTTACTACTTTTCTTATTTCCTTTTCAGCACCTCAACCGATATGGATGGAGAACGATGAGCTGCTGCACAAAATTTTCACAAAGAAGCAGCAACACGAATACGCGCATCGCCAGCAGCTGCAGAGATCTGCCAAAAAGCTAAACAAGAAAGCTGTTTCGCCACCGACCCCGGCACCTTACTTTGAGAACTCCACGCAGAGAAGTGTTGTCGTTGCTGTCGGACGGACTGCAAAATTACATTGTCGTGTACGAAATTTGGGGGATCGCGCAGTAAGTTTTCCATATCCAGCTGAAGTGTGTCGCTTCGCCCACTACCTCGCAGCTTCCTTCTCCAACTCGCCGCAATTATAATTTTCTCATTTTCCCGCCTGATGCTCTACCTGCAGGCTAATTAACTTCCATCCTGCTGTGTTAACCTATTTTCCAGCTATTCACTATGCCTTTTGTTGTTGCCGTTTATGTTGTTTTTTGATGCTTTGTTTTTGTTTGTCTTTCCCGTACGCACAATTTGTTTGTCATTTACTGCAGGTCACTTGGATACGTCAACGTGACTTACACATCCTGACCATCGGCGTGATGACCTACACGAATGACCAGCGCTTTGAGGCTTTGCATTGTGAGGACTCCGTTGAGTGGTCGTTGAAAATTGCATCTGTGCAGCTGCGAGACTCTGATGTGTATGAATGCCAAGTTTCGTCGGAGCCGAAAATTAGTCAGGCCTTCGAGCTGAACGCTTTAGGTGAGTGTTTAAGCGTTTCATTAAACAATATACATTCATATTTGGAAGCTTTCGGACTTTTGAACAAGAAAAATTACTTTTTGCGCATTTTTAAGCATATTAATGATCTTCAGCTTGATAATTAGAAATTCACTAAAATCAGTTCACTTTCGTGATCTTCCTTTTCACATTATATAGGAAATAAAATTATGAAAATTATCGAGTACAGTGTTCATGTTGGTTTGCTTGAGGCCAATCACAGGTTAAGCAAGGTTAGGAATTCGCATATGAATGACTCTTACGTCCACTCGGAGGCAGATTTTCTCATTGTGAATGCTCTTTGTTAGTGCTAGGAGAAGGCATATCCTTCTGACCGAAATTAATCCACACTGTCAGTACAGGGTATGCCAAACCATTTACTATTCCGAATGAAGCCGTGCATGTACTATATTTTCACCTACGCTACGCCCCATAAGCTATTAAAAAAGCGTGATCCCAAATGCTTGACACGCATTTTCTGGCGAGCTTCCTTTTCATCATCATCCCAACAACTTAAGTAGAGGGAGCTTTTTGGTATAGGCCGTCGATGAAGCATTGGTAAGGGCCATTACTGCAGATTTGTTGAGGGTCAATAGTTCCTCAGTACGACTCTTATTGACACCCGGCCACAAGTATCTTGAGATTCCACAGTGGTTCCGATTGGTCCAGAGGTCATTAGTTACGGCTGTGGTATTATTCATCGATCCCCCTAAGCGGAAAAGAAATCGGTGGCAGTAAGGAGTTATCAGCTTCGCTAATTTGCATTTCCGAGCCGTGTCTAGCTAAATATCTCATTGACTATTTCGTACAGGAACCCAGCAAAGAGAGGCTTTGACCTGACTGAAGCCGGCGTAGCAGCACATTTCCAAACTGCTGGGAAATCATGAGAGAATCGACGAATTGTTTATCCAATGGGAATTTTTTGAGTTAAGCTTGTTAAGAAAGGCACAGTATTGTAGTATTATTTCAGTAGTTATTGGAATGTAATCACCTACCACAAATTATAGTCACACAACAACATAACATACGTCTGTGAGGCCCCAGAGCAAAATAGCTTACGGTTTTAAAAAACAGCAAAAAAAATTTTAATTTTTAATTAAAAAGGTGATCAGAAACTATTCAAATCTTTATTTAAAAAATACAAGAAAATTAACCTCTTTTTTATCTCCAATAACTTTTACGAAGTCTTATTTTGAGTTTACAAACTGACATACTTAAAAAATGGGATAGATAAAAATTATAATTTGGAATAAGAACTTCTTTGATTTTTCTTTAATAAATGAAATTTAAGAAAATTGCATATCGTCGGTGATACTGCAAAACGTTCTATGTCACTTGTTACCTCTGGAGCTTAATTGATCTGTTATCCATATTTGATCGCTTCTGGCAACCGTTCATCTTCATCAGCCAAAGGTAGACAAGTTTTGTCATTCCTTTATTAGGGTGGAACGATTTACAGACGCATTCCGGTGCACGTAAGATACCATCAAAGTGTCAAGGGTACTAATAGACATAGACTGTTTTGCATTATCACCCACGATATGTAGCTCGGACAAGCGGTGGTAGTTTTTTTACTCATCTGGAACAAATAGCCTCGACGAACAGTTTCGCGGGATGTATTTTTCGAAAATAAATAATTTTTATATTCATTTAAACATATTTTTTTATAAAAAAAGTAATTTGGCGAAGCACAAAGCGAAACTAGAAAGTAGGCTTCGGTTCGGATTTTTATTTGCTGTATAGCAAACTAATGAGAAAATCAAATAGGCATAGGTAACTTTTACCCATGGTGGGGTGCTGAAGGTTAATATGGTATAATTAATAATTTCAAAATGTATTTCTTTCTATACATGCAATTTCAAAACCCCTACTAATTGGGACTCTCACGGCTTTCTAGACTATACCTTTTGAAACACTTTTTTCTATTTTATATGTGGCTCGGACCAAGGATCGTGGAGTTCAGGTTCTATGGAGTATGGCCACAGCGGCCGCAATCAACGATAGCTATTCGAATATGTATTCTGTAAAATGTAAAATTAATAGGTATAGCAAAATGTTACATTTTTATTTTTCAACTTAGTTTTCGGAAAGAAACTCCTTGCCAAGGGCGGAGGAAACATATAAAGAAACAATGTACGCCTAAGAAAGGCTATAAATATTCGCAAGTTTAAGCGTGTTTATTCACAAATAGATACTAGATAATATTTGAAATTAATCTCTTTATAAGAAAATAATTATAGGTTTGTATAGTAACTTCCTTCTCCAGTTAAATATTGCAGCGAGAGCGTAAAAGCAAAAGAGAGCGTAAAATTGAGGAGAGAGGAAACTAGCAGGAAAAGTTATTGAACACAAAACTATTAAAAACTTGCAAGTGCATAGTACATTGATATTCTGCTGTAAACATTTTACTATTTATAAATCAGTTTTAAACTCTTCGCCTTACACACAAGCACTTACACAGTCCAGTACGTCATTAATATTTTGATTTCCACTCATTTTACTTTTGTTTGTGCTAAACCAATTCAAAACAAATGGCGGCTTTTGACATTTATTCTTCTTCTTTTTCTGCTAGTAAAAATTTCACTAGCAATAATTTGTTACGCTCTCGATTCAGTGCTCTTTTGCAATTTTTTTTGGGTAATCAAACACTTTTCCAGTAAAAATTAGTACCGACTATTGCTTACTATACAAACCTTATGTATTATATTATTTAACTATTAAATTCCAGTGCAATTTTAAATTTCAAACCAAGGAGCCTTTAACTCATGCGAAAACAGATAGATAGTATTTCGCCCACAAATTTATTGTTGCCTTATCTAAATAAGATCTTCTGCTCATACAACCGCTTTGGCTTGCATTGGCAGGCGAATTGAGCCAAATTTCCCGTTTTGCTTTTGATGCTCCCTTTGGCTTTCGTTGCTATTTAGTCTGCACCCTTAGTAAATTGCCATTGAACGCTATTGTAATTGTGTAGCTTCCTATTTTTGCACTGTCGCTGATGTAACTGCAAGCGACCATTGTGTGCATATATGTACACACACTCTAACATGCTATATGAATGTATGTGTAGCTAAGTGTTTGAATCAATGGAGTATTTTTCCTGCTCATGGTTCCTTTTCGTCTGACACAGTTTGGAGCGAGACCGCATCGAATAACTTTTCTGTAATGCTAGAAAAAAGGACATGGAAGAGCACCATGTCAGTGGATAGTTATTGGAAAGGAAAAATGGTCGAACAAGTGTAAACTGCTAACGCATATTATAAGTAGGGACAAGACTTCAACAAAACATACAAAAAATAAAAATTGAAAATGTGCAAAGGGGATCTAAGCAAGTGAGGGAGAAATGGCAAAAGATAAGGATAAATTACACCGAGCACCCTTTTTATATAGAGTTTTTACATTTATTTATTTTTTTTTTTTGTTGCACAAGTTGCATTGTGGTTAAATCTTGCGGTCAAATTTAGTTATGCGCTTCTGTTTAGGGTGTCGCTTTTGCGAATTCATAAGATTCAGTGCATTGTGAAAGTGAACGTCAGTTTGGGTGATGCATTTGTGGAGAAAAGCGCTTTCACCATTTCGACTACGCTTCGTTTGCAGGCGACAATGGAAAATAGAAAATGACACTTTGCTTGACCTTTTTCCACTCTTCGCCCGCTGCAGTGGCAAACCAAATATTTTTACAGTTTGTGGTTGTCTTGGGTTTCATTATGGCTGCACCAAAACAGATTCCCTTTTTTTATATCATAAGCAGGGGATGGTACATTTTCAGAGTATTGCGTGGAATGATCGCTCCAAGTTTGTGCAGGCAAAAAATCTTTGGAAAAATCTATTTGTGTATGCGAAGCTGATGCATTAAATTGCTGCATATCGCGAACGTATTTATCAGCGAGTATGGAACTGCCAGAGATAGTCCTATGTCACTAAGGATATCCACCAAGCGATATATCTATGTGTCGCAACCTCTAAAGAGATGCAATAATAATTCTTAAAAGTAAGCTCAAGTAAAATATAATAATGAGTTAACTACATACTTATACTCTTATGAGGGGAATTTAAACAAACTGGTAGGGTAGGTTTAATTTGGATATTATTCTTAACTAAATTTTATACACCATTGTAATAAGCTGCACTTGAATAGGTACATTTATTTATATACCATCCAGCCGCATATCTGGCCATGAAACACTAAATATTACAACATGAAATATCTGTTACGTTTTGCTCAAAATCGTTTCGCTAATTCAAATAAATTGTAAAAAAAAAATGTATAAAAGTACCACACAGGCTCTTAAGAAAATACCAATATCAACGTCAAAGAAATGACTCTCTGATTTTAACAATACAGATCGCCTGAATCACAAGCTTTTCAAAGCAACTTATTTAAAATTGTTTCCACTAAATTTGGGTGAATACGCTACCTAGTAAATAATCCTGATTGATTGATAATCCTCGTTTGGTTCCTATGCTTATTTAAATCGGTCCATTATTTTGCAAGCAAATAGGTAGTTGAAATGATATCCACTATACCTTATTGTAAAAGCTTTCCATTATAATTACTACCTATTGAGGACCGTCATGCTCTACTGTTAGTCACGGGGTGGAGTCAAACGTCCTATAAATAAATTGGGAGCTATACAAATGAAAGTCTTACGAGAGAGAAAATTATAAATTCCTAGTTGTCGTTTCAAGTAGGGGTGCTTTAACTACGATTAAAAGTTCAACTTATAATTGGTTTTTGCTTTTTCTCTGTAGCTTTTTTTTAGATTTTCTTTCATTTTGGGGCAGCTTATTACGTAAAATCTAACTTGGCTAGCCTATATTTGGGGTTATAAATACACTGCCTCCTTTGGTCGACATGGAATAACAATTCAAACTATTAATTCTCAAAGTCTAGTCTCTAAGTTGTCCTATATTTTTTCCATTTATTCTACTTTATTCATAATATTTCTGCTCTCTACCTTCATCCCACTATATTTTAACTTTTTTCCAGTGGCTAAAGCGAAAATACTAGCAAATACCGAGTTAGTATTCAAAAGCGGCAGTGACATTAATCTTACCTGCATCGACCATCAGGCCCCATCGCCGCCCGCTTACATTTACTGGTACAAGGATGGCGAACTAATTAACTACTCGCAACGTGGTGGCATTAGCGTGCTGACAGAGCGTCCAACGAAAACCAGCAAGTTGCTAATCGCACGTGTCGTGCCCAGTGACTCCGGCAACTACACTTGTCTACCAAGCAATTCCGGTGAGTATTAAGAACAAAGCACAGAGAGTTGACAGTTTTCTTACCACAGAATTACCACGTCCCTCATACACACACAAGCTGGTGCTAAGGGTTTTTCCTATTGATTGCATATGTATGTATTTACAAGCGAACAACGTTCGTGTATACATTCACATATGTACATATCGTCGATGTTTTTGCAAAACCACACAGCGACCAGTTGCAAAACCGCCTAAATCGTCGTGGTGGCAAAAATGAGATTTGGTAACCCTGAACTCCAGGCATGGAGATTTATGCATAAATATCGTAAAATCGTTATTAGAACAACAGATTTGTAAAATAATACCTAGAGAAAATACAGGCTCTCAAAGCAATGCCTTCAAAGAAAATCTGTTTTTTTTTCGCTCTCTTGTCAAATTTGAGTGCCGTCAGATAGGCGGTTTTTCAAAAACATCGCCGATATGCATTTAGGAAAGATAGTATATGTGCATACGCAGGAAAGCAATGTTCTGGTTATTTGAATGGTATGCAGTTCGAAGAACCCTGCAAACCAAAGTTTCCGAATTCTTAAGGAAATCGTTAGGAGTATCTCATTTCTGTAACGATTTTTTTACGAATTTTCAAAGAAAATAATATGAAGTGGTTGACACGAACTCGTAAAGAAATTTCTGTACGAAAAATAAAGAAAATTCTGGAAAAATTCTGAAAGATATTCTTCACATAGCACTTATTTTCGTTGCTTCACAGATTTTCTTTCGAAATTTCGTAAAAGAATAGAAGTGTGCGTAATTTATTTCATTTTAAATTCGGCAAAAAATCGAATTAAATCTTAACGAATTCCTTAAAATTTCTTTACAATGCAGAATACTCTGAAAAAATGGTTTGCAGGGAAGTTATTTTTATTTTTTATTGAGCTTCGAAATTATTTTTACACATACATACATATCGCACACGTTTTTTTAACAAATTATTAAAAAATTTTGATCCAGTTTTTTGCTGAAAGGTAAATAAAAAGCTCTTTGTAAATTTGCAGTGCATAATTTCAAAAATGCTGTATTTTGAGTTGTATCACTTTTGAGGAGCGTTTGCGATATGCATGTATCTACATATAGTTATGTTTTGGGTCAATACATGTCAGATCGACGAAAAATAAAAAAATTATTTAAATTTAACTGAAATTGCTTAAAATAAATTAATTTACTGTTTGCACAAAAAAATCAAGCTTCAAAAATTTATATCTTAAAAAAAAACACCTTCTGAAAACTTCAGAGTCGTTTAAGATCAGTTGCACGTGTACCTGTATGCATATAAAAACAAAAATGTTGACCAAAATTTGCCCACGCTTTTGTTTTTACGATTTTTGTAACTTCAAAATTCATTATTATTTTTTTTTAACTAAAACTAAAACTAACTAAACTAAACTAACTAAACGTTTTTTCGATACTCAAAAATAAACCTGCAAAATTCTGCAAATTTTGAAATTGAGAATCAATAACTTTGTGTGTGCAATAGGGTGGTCCAAAAATACGTTCGGGAAATAGAAGTTCAAAATGTTAAGCTCTCACCCCCAAGGAGTTTTCTAAATGGAAAGAAAAGAATACCAGTACTTTTTTGTTAAAAACTGCTAGTTGTAACCACCTCAAAGTTTTCTATGTATTTTATTCGGGGAAAAACACGTTTCGTGAATAAGGTATACAATTCTTGAAAATCAAAATTTTCGATCGGAAAATATAACACCAATTTTTTTAACCAATTTTCAATAATAATTATGTTTTATAGGTCCCCCAAAAAATGCAACGGGGGACCCATAAAAAATCGTTAGTTTTAAAAAATGGTAAAATAAACATTTGGGTATTATTATTGGAGGCCTTATGAAGAGCGGCAGAGTTTTCTGATAAAAAAAATATTTGATTCTTTATTTTATTTTATTTTATTTAATTTTATTTTATTTTATTTTATTTTATTTTATTTTATTTTATTTTATTTTATTTTATTTTATTTTATTTCATTTTTTTTATTTTATTTTATTTTATTTTATTTTTTATTGTTTCTCCGTTACGGGTTCACATCAAGTATTGGTTGGTATACAACAAAATACTTAACACTATTGATTATAAAGTAGTATAAGAGAAATATAATCTTCAGATTGGTTACAAACGGATATTGACAATACTACACAGTTGCAAGCTTTTCTGTTTCTTAATGCTAATTTATATTCAGAAATTTACGAACTATCGATGATGTAGATAATATCACAGATTTTTGTATGGCCCTTCGCTTTTCTACCATGTTGAGTTTTTCCAGGCTAGTGTTCAATGATTTTGGAATAACTCCTGTTGTCGAAATTATAACTGGAATCACCTCTACTTTTTCTTATTTTATTTTATTTTATTTTATTTTATTTTATTTTATTTTATTTTATTTTATTTTATTT